CCGCATCGGGCTCCCTGCTCGGCGGGAAGCCTGCTTCTCCCTCTCCCACTCCCCCTGCTTGTGTTCCTGCTCTCACTATTTCTCTCTCTGTCAAATAAATAAATAAAAATCTTTAAAAAAAAAAAAAAGGAAGTAGTTGAGGTAAAAAGTTGGGGAATTTAGCAACACAGTTCTTCTCTAAATAATACACACGTTTCCTGGTACAAACTAATCCAAGGGAGAGAGGGCGGATCCATGTGGCCACAGATGAGGGACCTTGAAATCTAAACACTATTTGGGCGTGCCTAAATGATTTGTCCTCTAGTTTTCACTAAGATCCCAACACCACTTGGCAATCCTGTCGTTTGTCCCCGAGCAGCTCCTCTTCAGTGTCACCAGCTGGCCCACAGATTCAACTCAAATGCAACAGCGCCCCCTTCCTCTCTGTTGTGGGCACTGGGTGTGCTCTTGGGACCCCCTTGAGGACTGGACTCAGTGGTGCTTGTGGTACATGGCCGTCAGCTCTCAGACCCCTTTGGGGATTGCCTCAGCTGAAGAAAGCTGCTCTGCCCGAGGGCAGGCCCCCTTCCTAGGGCAGCCTGCACCCCATGAATGACTGAGTATAAAGGCCCGTCCCCTGGTCCCCACTCCTAGCTTCAGAGCTTCCCATAGGGCTGCCTGAGGCTTTGGGGACCCGATGTTGCAGCTCAACATCTCCTTCCTCCCATCCTGCTCCCACTCCTTCCCTTCCATGGGTGGTGGAAGTGCTCCCAAGAGCACTCCCTAATAAACCTGCTGATCTTGATCTCAGAATTGGCTTCTTGGGGCGCCTGGGTGGCTCAGTCGTGAAGCGTCTGCCTTCAGCTTGGGTCATGATCCCAGGGTCCTGGGATTGAGCCCCGCTTCGGGCTCCCTGCTCAGCGGGGAGCCTGTTTCTCCCTCTCCCTCTGCCCCCCCCCCGACTTGTGATCTCTCCCTCAAGTAAATAAATAAAATCTTAAAATAGAAAGATTTGGCTTTTCAGCAAACCCGACCTGCCACACTCTCTTCTCCTACCCCCACCCCCTCCTCCTGCCCAAGGCTGAGACCCACCTCCCCGGTGTGCTGGGGTCCAGTCCCCCTCACCTCCCCTTGGGCCCTGCTCCATCACTCACTCATTTCCTCTCTCTTTCCCGAAGCTTCAACCTCCCCCCCCCCATCTCTTCCCCTCGGCATGGAAACCTGAACAACTGTCTTCAACAAAAACCTCCTTTGACACAGCCCCCTTCGAGCTTCTGCTCTTTCTTCCCCTTCGCAGTCTAAGCTTCTGGAACTGGCCCGCTGCCATCTGGCTTCGGCCCTGTCTCATCTGACTTCTCTGGGGCGTCTGGCTCTGATGGCCACTCCCTCCTCTCTCTTTATTTCCAGGACACGTGGCTCTCTCCCATTTTCTTTACATTCCTTGAATGGTGTGATGTCCAGAGCTCCACCCTTAGTCCTCTTCTCTCCTTATTCTGAAAGTCATTCATGACCATGGCTTTAACCACCCCCATAGGTCGAAGGTGTCCAAATTCCTATCTCCAGGCCAAGCTATGAGACAGCACCCCCTTGACGTCCCACAAGTACCTCAACGCCATGGCGCTCGTCTCCACCCCTGCCCCAGCCTGCGTCCTCCCTGTGTTCCAATCTCAGTGAATGGGACCGCCGCGTACCCAGTGGCTCGAGCCGGAAAACTGCCACTGTTCTCGGCACGACCCCTCTCCCCTGTCACCTTCTCCACAACCATCATGGTCTGTTGATTCTGCTCATTCGAAGGTTCTCGAATCCCTCTTTCCCGCCCTCACTGACAATGTCCTAGTTCGAGCTTTGGATCTGTATAACTCAAATGAATGACTGCAACAAGCCTCCTCAGCAGCCTCTCTGCCTTGACACCCGCCCTTGCCTCTGCTGCCAGAGAAGTGTTCCTTCGAAGGCATTGGGATCGTGGGGCTCCCCTGTTCAAAATGCCTCAGCGGCCCCTTGTGGCCTTTAGAATGAAGTAAAAACTCCTGTACTTGGCACCTCTCTCATCTGGCTACCGCCTGCCTGGCTTCCTCACCCCCCTACCCCGACCCCATCTAGTGGTTTATATTCTCGAACAACCGGACTACTTGAAGTGCTTTGAACATGCTTCATTCTCCCATGTCTCAAAGCCTCCTTTGTGCATGTCCTTCTCTCTGGAAAGCTGCCCCATTACTCCCCGGGCTCCTCTTCCCTCCTCCAGGCCCCATCTATGCTGCAAGTGTCCTTGCAAACTTCCCAGGCTCTCCGAGGCTGTCTCTGGCCCCCGGGTTTTCCCTCCTCTTTGCAGACATCCATTAGACTTAGGGCACCTTCTTCACTGCCTCTCCTTCCAGGTCTTTCTTTCCGCCGGACTGAGTTCTTTGAAGCCAACAGTTCCATCCTGCAGTCCCAGTACCGGGCACGGGGTTTGGCCATCGGTCGCCACTTAATTAAGGGCTTGGGGGGTGGATGAGTCAATGAGGCACGAAGGGGTAGCAGGAGGAGGAAAGAGAACGAGAAGCTTGGGAGGAGACCGAAGGCAGGTGCCCCTCTCAGGATTTTGCTTGCCCCGAGCTCTGCGGCTGGCTGGGATGGCCTCACCTTCCCGCATTAGGAGGGAGCGCAAGCGAGCCGGCCACGCTCTGGCCACAGCCTGGCAGAGAAGAGCCTTGCCCGTGGCTCAGCGACCACTCCCACCCGAGTCTCGGCGAGCAGGGCCTCCCACCCCAGCCCTGGGCCGGCTGACGGCCAGGAAAGAGGGGAAAGAGAAGGTCAGCAAGGCTCGCTGCCGCTTCGGCCACCGCTTCTGTCTCTGGCGCGGACAGCTCAGGATTGCAGCGTTGTCCGCGCCCTTGGCCTTGGGGCTAGCTGGGCCGCGAGCCTGGGTCCACAGAAGCCTCTTCCTTCCTTCCTTCCTTCCACAGCTCTGGTCCACAGAAGCCTCTTCCTGTCTCTCCCAGTGTGCTAGCCAAGTATTTTCTGGGTGTGCTGTGACATGAAAAGGGTTGATTCATGTCGTCGAATGATCTCTGATCACTCTGGCCAGGCACCAAGAATTTCTTGAGTGGGCACTGGGGGCCTTTGGCGTCTTGAATTTACATTTCCCCCCAGTTGAAGCTTTTCCTCGTGTCTTAAAATATGGTGGGGGTCTTTTTTTTTTTTTTTTAATCCCCATTTGATAGGGAAAGAAGCCAAGGTCCAGAGACCTACCTACTCCGGCACTGTCAGAGACAAGTCAAACCTGGTAAGGCTGGTAAACCGGCTGCCGAAGGACAGGAAGACGAGGGAGCCGGGCTCCCGAGAGGCAAGCGGCTGCGGGGCTGGCGCTGGAAGGCTGTCTGGCCACAGCGCATTTACACTCTGCCCACAAGGGGTCAGCAGTTTCCGTGGCCGCGGAGTGCCGAATGCGAGGCGTCCCTCCTGTGGGAAGGCGGCGCCCCCGTCCCGATCGCCGACCTGGTTCCTGGCTGCACGGCAGGAGCCTGGAAGGAAATCCTTCCACCACCAGAGCTTCTAGGACGGGCGTCTCCCCGGCTGTACCAGGGGTTGGGACAGGCCAATGGTCTGCTTATCCCGGGAAGGCTGTGGAAGCTCCCAGGGGCAGCGCCTTATTACCCGGCCAGTCCTCTGGATGCGACAAGCCACTTGTGGACGGCAGTGCCTGCAGACGGCGCGGCCGGCATAGGCACTCCCCCCCTCCAAGGGCTGTAGCCGCCTCCACAGGAATAACTGGAACCCAAACTATCACAGGGCTGTGTCTGCTAGGCCAGAACCGCCCCCCGGGAGGGAGGGAGAGACCTGAAGAACCATAGATACAGAGCGTCTCCAGGATTCAGAGTCAGACAGACCTGGGTTTGAATCCCGACTCTTCCTCTTATTAACCATGACCTTGGGCAAGTTATTTAACTTCCCTGTGCCTCAGTCTCCTAATTGGTAGAACAGGGAATTAAAGCACCTGCCCTTCAGGGCTGTTCTGAGGACTTCTTTACTCATTCATTTGAGCCTAACCTAGACTAGCTACTGGGTTCAGGGGGTATGACCAGGCTTGGCTTCCATGCCTGGCACATAGCAAGTGTCGACTCATGGTAACTTCCCTTTGAAGGTCGGGCCATGGATTTGGGCTCAAAACAGCAAGCAGGTGGAGGTATTCTGAGCAGAAGAGAAGCAGGAGGAAAACACCATTGGGGAAGGCTCCACTCCTACCTGCAGTGTAGTGGCAGGATTGAAAAATGCCGGCCTTACCCTTTCCACAGCATCAGGACATAGGGCCAGAGCGAGGGGCCTAGGACTTACACTCCCCGGGGAGCTGAGCCCACACTGCAGTTGGGGACAGGAAGTGGCGAGAGCGGGGGCGGAGCCGAGAGGAAGCTTCCTGAAGCCAGGAAGCCGCTGGGCTTCATCTGGCAGATCACCTTGCCTGCTTTTGGGCGGTGGTTTCAGGATATGGGGAGAAGGTGTGGGCATGCCTCTGTAGCTGCAGGGACTTGAGCCAGAGCATTTGAAGGACATGAGAACACAAGAGTATGAATATGCCACGCTGTGCGTGAGGCCCGATTCCTCGGACTTGGACAAGGACATCATGGGACGCAAAGACCCAAACGCCCTTGAGTCCTTTAGTAAACTGTCAGCTGTGAATTTATCCAAGCCTTTCGGATGTTGCAGTACTATTTTTTTCAGTCGGCCTCACCAACTGGAACATTTTCCGCACACTTTTGCTTCCTCCTACAGAGAAATTCTTTTCTGAAAAACACATCTCTCCCCAGTGTCAGGCGATGTGGTCTTCTGGTGCATCGGAATCCCCCCCTAGATGGCAGGCATATGTACCAGCAGCGGCCCCCAGTGCCAGCAAAGCTGGTGAAGGAGATCTAGAGTAGCCCCTCGAGATCGTTCTCTACATTAGCCAACTGAGGATCAGAGAGGTAAAGTGACTTGACAAAGGTCTCACAGCCACTAAGTGGTAGGTAGAACTAGAAATTTCCATAGGTTCCTAGTCGGGAGACTGGTCTGTGTTTGTTTTTTCCCCCAGGCCAAATGGCTTCCCATCTGGGACATACTTTTCTGGACTTCCCTCATTGCTTCTACTCTCCTTCCCTGCCCTAATTTTCTTTCATTCTGTCCTTATTGGTACAGTCGGCAGCTAGACCAAAGTGGTTTGTCAGGTGGTGGAGGCCCCAAGCTAGCTTAGGCTAACTTCTGCAGAGCCAGGGGCCAGGAAGCAAAGCAGTGGACCTTCCTGTCAGGCGCCCACGTGACATGCGAGAGCCGGAGTCCTTTCAGGGCCCGACTGAGGGTGAAGCAAGGAACCTGTGGAGAGGGGAATTTCTAGGCTCAGGACTACAGGCCTAGGTTTCCAGTCAGGGCCATCTCTGGGTAATACTGTGAGGAAGTTAGATCTAAGTGAGTTGGTATAGAAGAACCATTCATTTTTTTTAAAGATTTTTTTTTTTAAGTAATCTCCACCCAACATGGGGCTTGAACTCACAACCCTGAGATCAAGAGTCACATGCTCTACTGACTGAGCCAGCCAGGCATTCATCTTTTTTTCAGGAAGGCGTGACTGAGCACCTTCTCCAAGCCAGGCGCTGAGTGGGTGCCCAGGATATCACTGTGAATGAGAAGGGCAAAGTCCTTCCCTACCTTTGTAGACTTGGTAGCCTCGTGAGATCCCAAAAAGGTTTTTATTTGTTGGCTTTAAAAACACACACGCACATATGATTTTTAGTCATGCGTCCATCCTCTACCAAGTTTTGGTTAGGGTTGGAGTACCTCTCAGACCTTTGAAACTTGTGTTTCTGGTGCCAAAGTAGTCCTGAATCTTGGGCTTAACCAGTGGAATGTTGGTAAATGTTTAACAATTAGCTCTCTGGAGGGAAGTGTATGCATGTATATATGTACATAAGTTAATTCTAAATTTTACTGATATAAAGTATGTGTGCCTCACAAATTACGTATAAAATGTACAAAATATCATTAATAAGGTAATTAATTTTGTAAATGTATTCAACTAGTTTATTATCAGCACATTATTAGTATTAATAACATTGTTGGTATTAATTAGTAATTTTAATGTTAATTGTTAATCAGTAGCTAACTGATTCTCACAGATGGCTTTTGTGGGTTTTTGCCAGACTCTCGTATCCGTAACCAACTTGTGGTTGCCATTGCTAAACAAATGGAGTTCTGACATGAAGGTGAGTTGATCTTTTCATTTACGTGTGAAACAACAAAGACATATGTCGGAACTTCATTCATTCCTCAATGATGTGAGTGACTTCTTCCTTGAATAGGATAATGGTTTTCAGACACTGGAAGATTATTTCTTCATTATCTGGTATTATTTCACAAAGTGACAGCTACCGACATGGCTCACAGTTGAGTTTAATCTGCATTATTAACATTTTCCCTCTCACTTTCTTAGGTCTAGAAAATCAACAGAAAAAGTAAAGCCTGATTAAGAGTATTTACTGATCTCTGAGTCACAAGCGCTCAGCCCGTGGCCCATGGCAAGTCACCAGCTTTGCTGCGAGGTTGTTGCCCACTATCCCACGGTATTTCCGCCACACGGACGTGGCAGATAATCACCTAAGTGCACAGATCACTGTGAAATAGAGTAAAATGATGAAGTGATGAGTTCGGGGGTATTTCTTACCTAATTAAAAAAAATTTTTTTTAAAGATTTTATTTATTAATTTGACAGAGACACAGCAAGAGAGGGAACACAAGCAGGGGGAGTGGGAGAGGGAGAAGCAGGCTCCCCGCCGAACAGGGAGCCCGATGATGCGGGGCTTGATCCCAGGACCCCGGGATCATGACCTGAGCCGAAGGCAGACGCTTAACGACTGAGCCACCCAGGTGCCCCTCTTACCTAATTTTTAATAGAATTTATTTCAGTATAACTTTCACAGCCAGCTCACATTTGTGACAACATAGCATTAGAAAGAGCCGGCTCCAGCACACCCCTGGGCCTGACTCTATTTCCAGGCCCTGAATGACCCTCATCCCCACTCCCACGCCCCTTTGTCATTGATTCGGGACCCTCCAGCCCACTGCCATGGATGGGGAGCTCCTAGATTCCGGAGCTAACCCTAGTGGCCACTTTGAATGAGGGCCCTGGGGACAGGGTGACACCAGTGGCTTCTCCATGACTGGGTGGCCTCTTTCTGCCTGAGGAGCAAAAGCAGAGGTGGAAGAGAGTCAGGGACACTCGCAGTGACTCTGGAAGGCAGGCACATCTGGCAAGCACTCACGGCTAAGAGAGAAAGGAAGGATGAAGGGGTGAGGGCAGGAGAGAGCTCGGGCTCAGCCCTCTGTCCACTTGGCTCTACTCCTGGGCTATAATTTCTCGTTGAAGGCTTTCCAGAAAGGCTGGTGACCTTGGAGACTATAGGTTAGTGGAGGGGGGAGCCGAGACAAACCCTTCCCTCCTGCCTCTGGGATGTTAGCCAGAGCCCTGGAAGCTACTCCCGAGGGCTGTCCAATGTCTGCTCTTGGAGTCTACCTTTGGGGCCCGTTTCCTTTTCAGCAGGAGAGGGGTGGCAGTGACTTTGGGTCTTCGGTTGGGCCTCTTGCTGACTGGCTGAGTCTGTTTTGGAATCTGGTGGGAAGTCTGCCCAGCATTCTGGGCCATCCTCTGCATGCAGGCCACAGACGAACCCTGTTTCCTTTCAGGCCACATGGCCTGGTCTCTGCTCTCCAGGTCACCGCCAGGCAACTTAGCAGGTCCAACTGCTTGGATACGGTTGGGCCATGCTGCGCTCTGGATGCCACCGCATGAATGAGCGTTCTGTGTTTGCACCTAGGCTGGTGGCTCTCCGAGGGCCCTGTCCCCAGCACCCCCCCCGCCCCCACTCAGTACAAAGAGCAGTCCTCAGTGACGGAATGCAGCAATGAGAAAGCCTGGCGGACAGTCAAGATTTCTTCCTGGTGAAGCCGAATCACAGTGTGGAGCCCCGTGTGGAAGCGCTCATTTTGGAACCTTGTCCAAGGAGTCTCCTCTATTATTGCTAACACTTGGCAGGGGGGCAGGGCAAACTCCCCACTCCCCACCCCCACGCCGACACGGGTTTTTACCAATTAGCTGTTCGGTAACCAGGAAGTCCTGATGCCAGTGGTTTTCCTACCACCCTAAGAGAACAGTCACCTTTACCCCTCAGCCCTCCGTCTGCACCCCCCCCCCCCCCCCGCACGCCTCCGCTCCCGGGGCTGCTGGCCCAAGTGCTGACCGGGAGCGATTGCTCTTGGCATCAAGCCTGAGGACAGGCTGTGCGCCGAGAGGCCGGGGCGGCCCTCCCTCTACGACACGGGGTGGGAAGTGACCAGGGTGAGGACGCAGACAATAAGGGCTCAGTACCCTCCGAAGCGGGAGGGATCCCTGGGGACAGATGTACCAGCGGTCCGCTCCCTGCCAAGCCCCCGCGTCCCACCCAACCCACACCCCAGCATCCACACGCATCCGCCGGCGACCACCTTCGGACAACACCATTCACGGGGGTTCGAGCGAGAGGGCAGGCCTTACGAGGAGGTCCACAGAGAGGCCCGGCACTGCAGTGCCGGGAGTGAGGTGTCTCTGAGCCCGCTGTTACTGCCCGTCTTCTAATAAGGCCGGAGGCCAATCAGTCCTTCTAATAAGGCCAGATGCCTGTCTCCGGGGAGCACAGCGCCCCTTCTCCCAACATGTCCTGGGCTGAATGACCCTTGGAGTGTACCAGGTTGAAGTTCTGGTGTCTGTGTCCGTGTGTGTGTGTGTTAAAATATTAAAACTGTGTTTCCAGACCAGACTTTGCTCCCGTGTTCAAGAGCCCCAATCCAAGTGTCACTTGGATGTCCCACAGGCAACTGCAATTTCACATACCCTATGCTTCTCGTCCTCTCCTTCCCCCTCAAGCCCACAGTTGGTCCTGTCCCACGATCCCTTTCTCAAGAAATCGCGCTGCCACTCACCTACGTGGCCAACCGGGAAACCTGGGCACTCCCTCACCCCACATCCCCCTATTTCCCTCGGCCACCAAGTCAAACCTGTTCTCTCCTGCACACTTGTGCCTCATCCAGCTGGCCCTGCACACCCTGCCAAGACTTTAGGCCAGGTCACCAACTTCTCGAAGCGCAGTGACAGCCTCTTGATGTGCTTTCTTGCCTCCAGTCGTCCCGTCATCCCTGCTCCAGCCCCCACACCATCCCCAGCCCTGTCTCTAAACCAGCCCTGAATGATGTGCCCAAGGCAGCGGGGAGAAGGCCCACCGGCCCAAACGCATCTTTCTCTCCAACTTGTAGGTGCCCGAAGCGCCTCTTATTTCGGTAAGTTCTGGGGACACATACTGACATATTAGCTAGCTCACTCTGGAGCAGAACCCAGCCTCTCTGACTTTTCCTACTGGCATCGAATTTTCCTGGGCAGAAAGGGAGGAATGTGAGATGAAAAGTAAGTTTTGACACCAATGAGGAAGGCAGGGGAAGGCCCAGAGTAGGGTAATGCGCAGGTCCACGGGGCTAGAGGGGATTCCCAGGATTCGAGAAAAGTGGCTTCCTGGAAAGGGCTGGGGCTGGGTCCCGAAGAGACCATCTAGCAGAAAGTGTGCCAGGAGGAAGGCATTGCCCTGGGGAAGGAACCGGCCAGCTCCAGCTGTGACTGGGTGGAAACTTCCCTCCCCCCCCCGCCCCCCCCTGCCCCCCCCCGTCTCTCAGGGGTGGAGCCATCTAAGACTTCCCAGAGGGAGAGGGCTCTGATCTCCCAGGAGGTGGGCTGGGCTTCCTTCCAGAAGGGAGGCCGAAACCCGGGGGCGGGGCTGTAGAAGTAGCCCCCACTCTCCCCTCTGAGACCTCTGACTCGAAGAGGTGACAGAGCCCCACGTTCCCCCCCCCCAAACAGAACACGGGCTCAGAAGATTACCCAATGCCTCTCTCTGCTCAGCCTGCAATGGGCCCGTCTTTCCTCTGCGGTGGTTCTTCCTCTGAGACCAACCCCTTTCCCTGAACTCGTGGGGAATCCACCTTTTACCTGTCTCAGCCCCGAAGCCCTGTAACGCACGGGAGGAGGTGACGAGGCTCCCAAATCTGTAATCTACCCAAAGCTACAAATTACAAAACAAAACATGAGTCAACATTATGATGCAAGGTCTTTTTTTTTTTTTTTCCTACAGATACGGGTTGTATAGACCTCACTGTCCTCAGGATTAGAGTCCAGATTCCAATCATAATTTGCAAGTCTCTTCAAGATCTGGCCGCTGCTAAATGAGATGTCGGTCAGAGGGTACAAACTTGCATTTATGACTAAGTTCCAGAGATCTAAGGTACAGCGTGGTGATTATAGTTAATCAGACTGCATTATATACTTGAAAGTTGCTAGGAAGTTAGATCTTAAATGTTCTCAGCACAAAGAAGAAATGGTTTGTGACGTGATGGAAGTGTTAGCTAACACTCTGATGGGCATCATTTTGCAATATATAAATGCAGCGAACCATCACGTTGTACACCTTAAACTCACGCAGTGTTCTCTGTGAAATATAGCTCAGTGAAGCTGCGAAAACAAAGATCTGGCTTCAGTTTTTACCTCTCAGCGCTCCCCCCAACCCCCATTCCTTTGGACCTGACACCTGGTCATCATTTTTTAACTTGTTATTTGGAAAGAATTTCTAATTTAGAAAGCATTGGAAGAATAAAAATAGCACAAGGATCACTTGTATAGCCTTTACCCAGATAAGCCTATAGTTAACATTTTATCCCATTGCCTTTATTGTTTGGGTTCTCTCTCCACACTCACGCACGCACACGTTATGTATATACATTATATATACACACATACATATACCCACATTACATGTATACATCCTGTATGCCATTTGATACACGGACATGCACACTTTTTTCTGAGCCATGTGAGGTATGTTGTATATATCATGATCCTTTACTCCTACACTTCAGTGAATTTCCTAAACAGAGAGACATCCTCTTCTTCTGCTTCTTCCCCTCCCTCCCTCTCTGCCCCTCCCCTCTGAGCACTCTCTCTCCTTCTCTCTCTTTTTTTAAAGATTTTATTTATTTTATTTGAGACAGAAGGAGAGGGGGGGCAGAGGGAGAAAGAGAAGCGCTCAATCTCATGACCCTAAGATCATGACCTGAGCCGAAACCAAGAGTCAGATGCTCAACCGGCTGAGCCAGCCCGGCGCCCCTGGTGTCACAATATTTTAATCTACCGTCCATATCGCAGTTTTGTCAGGTGACACACTGATGCCCTTTAGAACATTTCTTCCCTTCCAGTACAGGAGCTGATCTAGCATCAGGTGTTGCATGGAGTTGTTCTTTCTATTTAGCCTGTGTTAATTTGGAACACCCCACAGCATCTTTGGGTCTCTTATGACCTTGTTGTTTTTGGACAGATCACTTCCCCCTCCTGCCAATATAAATATTCGCGTTTTTCTTTCCTGCCAACATTTCTCAGCAGGATGCTCCTCATGCTGTGCTTGCCTGGTGTTTCCTCATGATTCGATTGGGGATCTGCCTCTCTGCTGTGTAGGTCATATGGTGTCCCATCTGGGGGCGCTCAGCCTATATCTGTCTCTCATTGGTGATGCTAATTTTGATCACCAGTTCAAGGTGGCGCCCGAGGTCTCTACCCTATAGCTACTTTTTTTTCTCCCTTGCATATAACAAACAGTCTGTGGGGAGACACTTTAAAACCATCAAATATCCTGCTTTTCATGAAAATATCCACTGGGGGGCGTCTGGGGGGCTCAGTCCATTAAGTGTGGGACTCGTGATTTCGGCTCAGGTTCTGATCTCAGGGTGGTGAGATGGAGCCCGTCTGGGGCTCTGTGCTGGGCATAGAACCTGCTTAAGGCTCTCTCTCTCCCTCTCTCTCTGCCCCTCCCCCCCAAATAAATGAATAAATAAATAAAAATAAAATCTCCGCTCGGTTTAGCATCCATTGATAATTTTTGTCCGATCCAGTCTTTGCAATGATCGCTGCAAAATGACAAGTTTCCAGGGCACTTGGGTGGCTCGGTTAGTTGAATGTCCGACTCTTGATTTTGGCTCAGACCGTGATCTCAGTGTCCTGGGATTGAGTCCCGCGGCGGGCTCTGAGCTCAGCGTTGAGTCAGCTTGAGATTCTCTCTCGCCCTCTGCCCCTGCCCCTCCTCCTGCTCTCGTGTGCACGCACGCTCTCTCAAAATAAATAAGTCTTTTCAAAAAATGACAAGTCTCCGACTCCCACGCTCCCTCCATCCACAGTCACCGGTTGGCCCTTGCGTTCTAGCCATTGTGAGCCACTGTCCGTTTGCCACATCTGCCAAGAGCTCTTGGCTAACTCTTATTCGTCCCCCAGCCTGGGCTGTCACAAATGGTGCACAACTCCAGGGGGCGCCATTCACATCGTGGCCATGCCAAGGGGCAGCCGGGGGGGGTCTTGGTTTAGATGAAACTTCCTCCTGGAAGTTCTCCCAGATTCCCCAAGCTCTGTCTGCAGACCCTTATCAACACCCTCGTCACACTACATTGTAATTGTCTTCTTACTTCTTTGCCTCCCTCACTGGGCTATAAGCTCCTTAAGGGTACGACTTTTCCTCTCTTGTTCTCTGCTGTGCCCCGCCTAGAATATGTATTCAGCAAATGTCAGACCAGTGAACGGGTTTGGTCTCGTGTTATAGTTAGTTATATATGTATATATAATATACGTATGTATAGCTGGCTTCTCCGGTGGAGGACAAAGTCCTTAAGGACAAGAACCACACTTGATTCATCTCTGCATCCTCTTCCCCTCCCCTCCGTACTTGGCACAGGGCCTGGTTCATAGCAGGCACTCAACAAAGGTTTGCTGAGTAAGCCCAGATGTGTACGGGTTGATCAGGGTACACTCCCCACCCCCACCTTTATGCAGAACTGCACTAAACTCTGTTTGGGTGACACCTGGGAACCAGGGGGTGTGCCCTTCGAACCCCTGCTGTTCCGCACAGTTGGGCCGAGCCCTGCCTGAGCACAGGAAATGTAAGTGTATGTGGTCAGGGTCACTAGGGCTCCCATTACCGAGGGATGCCAAAACCTGAGTGAGTCTCCAAAGGTGACTGAGGGCTGTCCGGGACCCATCCTTGGGGTTCTGAAGTCTTCCTAGATGACAGTCCCTGGCTTCTCCCATGGAACTTTCCAGGAGCCGCTGGCCCAGCGGACTCTGGAAGTCTTTCTGGGGCTAGGGCACTTGGAAGGCACACTGCTTGGGTCAGGATAAAACAGAAGCAGGAGAGGCTTGGAGAGAAGGCCTAGGAGGAGCCGGGCTGATAACCCAGCCCTTTGAAGAGCACAGGGCACCTCCGCCGTCTGGAGCCCAGCCTGCCAATCTGGCAGAATGAACTCCGATGCCCGCCAAGACCTGGGCCTGGATTCGGGCTGGTGTCTCGCTGAGCCCAGCTCAGCAGCCAGGGCAACCCCTCCCAGAAGGCACTGGCTCCGGAAGCTCCCGGGAGGGCTCTTCTCAGCCCCCTAGAGATGGCGTGGGGCCCCAAGGGCAGCCCCAGGCAAAGGTCGGTGTCATCGGACTTTAGCTAGGACAGTCCTGATTTGTACAGGGTTTTTGTCTAGATAGACGCTCTTCTTCAGCCTTCCCGCTGTGTCAGAGATGCGCCGTCCACCCCACGGCATTCAGCTTTTTCCCAATAGGAAAAGTACTCACCAACGGGCCCCAGATCCATCAGTGGCAGCCTTGAAACTCACAGCCGGGGACTTAGGGATATGGATCTAACACAGGAGCCACTAACATGAACATTTTCATTTTTATTTCTAAAGCACTTACATAGCATTGACCATGTGCCAGGCGTTGTTTTAAATGCTTTGCAATCTGTTAACTCATTAATTCTCATAACAACCCTTTAAGGTAGGTCCAGTCATCATCCCCATTTGATCGTTGAAGAAACTGAGGCACAGAGAGGTTAAATAACTTGCTTAAGGTCACACGGCTGTTAAATGGCAGAGTGACTCCAGCCCAGGTAGTGTGACTCCAGACCCCGTTCTCTTTACTCCTCTGTCCTGCTGCCTCCCTGGGCTTATCATCCTTGTGAGAACAGAGCAGGACAAGGAGCAATCTTCCCACCTCCCCTTTTCCTTTTTTCCGTAGGTCCTTTTATATGGATCAAGTGCAGGAGTCCAGCCTGTCCCCTAGTCACATCAGAGACAAAGAGAGGGAGAAAGAGAATGAGGACGTTGTCTGGATGCTCGGATGCTTCTGGAAAAGTCAGCTCTGGCAGTGGCTGAGGCGTACCTCCAGGATTCAGAAACCCCTGCAGTTAATGTAGCCCAAATTCTGAGCTGAGTGTGCTTAGCGACACCCCAAAGAGGACCACGGCATCAGAATCTTTCTAACCCTAGCCTTGGGCAAACACCACCACCAAAGAGTGGCCAGAGCCAAGCTTTGGCTGGACATGGAACAGAACTGGGAAGAAAAGAGTACATCGGGGTAGATAACAAGTTGTTTACAGTGAGCAAGGCCCCAGTGGCCGCCTCATAAATCTCAGTCCTGGGAAAGTATGGTCAGAGCTGCGAGCCCCGACGCGCACGTGCTGCTCTTCCCGTGGAAATATCAACCAGTCCGCGCACGCACCCGGGGCTGGGACGAGGGCAACACACTTTGGAGCCAAAACCTTCAACCAACCACCAAACTTTCTTTAAAGGGAGACGTGTTCGGCTCTCTGCTGGGCGCAGGGACTACAAATAGGAGTAAAAATGCAACCATCTGTGTTGATATAATCTACGCTCGCACATGCCATCGATCATCCGGGGAGGGCAACAGCAGTGGGAGAGAGACTAAGGGGTCACCGCAAACCCCTTCTGCCTTGTGAATTTGCTATCAGAAGCACACGTTACCTATGCAGACAATAAATGAGGGGCACCCAGCCGGCTCGGTGGAAGAGCGTGCGACTCTTAACCTCGGGGTTGCGGGTTCAAGCCCCATGTTGGGTGTAGAGATTACTTAACTAAATAAAACTTAAAAAAAAATTTAGGGGTGCCTGGGTGGCTCAGTCGTTAAGCGTCTGCCTTCGGCTCAGGTCATGATCCCAGGGTCCTGGGATCGAGCCCCGCATCGGGCTCCCTGCTCCTCGGGAAGCCTGCTTCTCCCTCTCCCGCTCCCTCTCTCGCTGTGTCTCTCTCTGTCAAATAAATAAAATCTTAAAAAACAGATTTAAAGCGCCAAGGTTGTTGACAACAACGAAGGATCCAGGATACACCGACGGAATTGACCCATCGGTCTTCCTGGCTTGGGACACACTTCGGGCTTTCGCCGTGGCGGTTACGCCCAAGAGGTCTTCTTACCACGTCCTGGCTACAAAAAGGCGGGTGTTTTTCCAAGCACATCACATGAGGAGACTGATAACCCGGCAAGAATGCGGAGGCAGGTGAGCCCTGCCCAAGGCAGAAGGGAGTTTTTCCTTCCACGGGCTTTGACCACGTCATCCGCCTTTCACGGACAAAGGTGACTCCAGGGGTGACAGCCTGTCACCTTGCAGACACGCCCCTGTCCCCGCCTGGCCCTGGCCCTGGCCCAGAGAAGTGTTTCCCGATCAGCTCTGGCCAGCTGGGCAGGGGTCAATGCCTCCGGCTGGATCCAGCCGAAACCTGCTAAAGAGCTAGCCCCAGTCTGAGAACAAGGGTCGGCAAAGTAGGTTCTGGTGGTTTTGGCGAGGGCAAATGGACAAGTCAGTTTTCCGGTGTGGCGTCGTTTTTCTGGATCGTGGGCTCTGACTTTTCCCTCTGCGCCCTCCGCCCCCAGACTACCTTCAGGCTTCCTCTCTGCGAAGCGCATCCCATCTGCTGGGAAATAGTAACCATGTGACAATAAGCATGATCACGACCCTCTCGGGAATGCTCCCGTGGGTCAGGCACGGAGCTCAGCGCTATACACGCGTTCTCTCCCAAGCAGTCCTCATGGACATGCCACGAGGAAGGGCTTCTGGCTGTCTTTGTTTTATAGCTGAAGAAACTCAGCCTCTCAGAAAGAGCTAGTAAGTGGTGGGGACCCACTGGAAATCGATCCATGTGGTTACGAGCCCATAACCGGGGCACTTAGAGGCTTTTAACCACTCTGCTCGACTGCCTCTCATAAAGTTAATTTTAATCTTTGCCTAATCCGACCTTATTTAGGGAAGGAAATGTGCTGCCAAAAAATCACTTAGGATATCCTAAAGCTAAATATAAAAAGCTCTTCTATTATCTCTTGTTTGGGGCTCTTTGGGCTGAGGCCTCGCCCCAAGGGCCTGTGGGACCAAGGGTTCTCTGGGTGCCTACCATTTGGGCCGACAGGAAATAAACCCAGCTCTGCTGGCCCTGAGTCAAGGCCCTAAAAAGATCTGCTAACAGGGAAAGTTAAACTTATAAAATCAGTATGGAAATGAAAGCCTTAGACCAGGCCCTGGGATTCAAAATGTCAGGAACCTCCTTCCAACTTGCTGCCCTGGGGTGGGGGTTGGGGAGGGCACTGCCTGGGGACAAGCATTTTGCAGCTGCTGGCTGAGGGGTTTGTGGGTAGAAGCTGACTTCTAGGTCCCATTGGGTCACCACGATGGAATTCTAGATATGTGTCTGACTGCTTTATTCTGTATTCTCAGTTTATTCCCCCTGGGTCTGCACCTGCAGAGAGAACACTGGGACGCTTCTCTTCCTCGGCTTGCTGTACTGGTTAGTTCTACGTGTCAAACAGGTTAAGGGAGGCGCCGCTAGCTGGTAAAAGATGATTTTGGGGTGTGTCTGTGCGGGTGTCTCTGGAAGAGATCAGCGATTGAATCGGGAGACTGAGCAAAGATTGCCCTCACCAGTGCAGGTGGGCATTAGCCAATCTGTTGAGCGCCCAGATAGAACAAAAAGATGGAGGAAAGGCAAATTTGCTCTTTTTTTATTTTTTATTTTTTTTTTTGCTTGAGCAGGGACATCCATCTTATACTACCCTCAGACATTGATGCTTCTGGTTCTTGGACTTTTGAACTTGGACCAGGACTCATGCCACTGGCCACATGGTTCTCAGGCCTTTGAACTGGCATGGGGTTACACCAACAGTTTTCCTGAGTCTCCAGCTTGCAGATGGCAGTTCTTGGGACTTCTTGGCCTTCATAATCACATGAGCCAATTCCTATAATATATATCTCTCTGGGTGGCTCAGTCGGTGAGGTGTCTGCCTTCGGCTCAGGTCATGATCTTGGGGTCCTGGGATCGAGTCCCGCATCAGGCTCTCTGCTCAGCGGGGAGCCTGCTTCTCCTTCTCCCTCTGCTCCTTCCCCTGCTCTCTCTCTCTCTCTCTTGCACACACGTACACACACGTGCTTTCTCTCTCTCTCTCTAATAAATAAAATCTTTAAAAAAATCTATCTATCTATCTATCTATCTATCTATCTATCTATCTATCTATCTTTCTCTCATTGATCTATATCTACCTCCTATCGGTTCTGTTTCTCTAGAGAACTCTAATGCACTTGCTCTCTTGGATTTGCCTTCCTCTTCTAAAATGCTGAGGCTGGAAACCAAGAGACTTTTCTGCCAATCACCTGAGACACTCTTTTCTTCACATCACTTCCCCAGCTTCTTAATGCTGAGATGGGGAGCCAAGCAGCCTCCCTCGCCTGCAGCCACTCAGCCCCAGCGAGGCAGCCTCACCCTAGTCAATGCAGACCGAGCGGCCAGCCACGCGAAGCTCCCTGCCAACCTTGAAGACATTCCCCTTTTCCCTCTACTCGGACGCCCTCCCCATTCTGTGCTCACAACTCCTGCCTCTTCATCTTCAACAACTCAGGATAAAACCCACCTCCTACTACCTTGCCACTGTGTCTTCCAGGTTTTTTCGGTATTCAGCATGTACCAGATTGCTTTACTGTTACTATAAAGAGTAACAAGGATGTCAGCCACCATTTACTGAGTATTGTTTGCCCAGGCATTCTCTCATTGATACATTGTCTCATTGAAACCCCACAACCACCCTATGATGTGGGCGCTGTTATTACTCTCCCCATTTTCCAGATGAGAAAACTGAGGTTAAGTAACATGTCCTAGGACATACAGCTAAGAAGTGGTAGAGCTGGGATCTGACCCCAGGTCTCTCTGATCCCAGAGCCTCTCTCTGAATCAGTGTGGGTTTGCCTCCTTGCTTCCATTAGAATCTTCTGCTTTCTTCTGGATTTCCAGCTCCCGACACCCAATCCCGGGCCCTGTGTGGAGTGGGCACGAGCCAGATTGATCTGTTTGCAGGGGTTCTGCTCACCCCATCAGGCCCTTGGCTCCTCCCTGGTCCTGCAAGGGAGACGCAAACAGCAGGGCGGCCAAGAGCTAGACCAGAAGCAGGGAGCCATGCCAAGTCTGAGCAAGACCCGATGTCCCCTGGCGTCAGTCAGGGCCCGGCGGCTTCCCAGCGCGCTCACCTCGTGGCCCCGTCATGACTCGCACACCTCTGCTAATGAGGCCGGGGAGGGGACTGCCCCCAAGGATCCTGGAGCATCTATGAGGGAAGGCAGCCTTTTAATATCACCGTGTTTCTACGGTGATTGGACTCTGCCAGATAGCATCTGCCCCCTTGTGGACTGTGCTTTTCTGACATTTTGGGAGAAGAGAAAAAAATAGACGCGTCTCCAAAGTCCTGCGAAAATACCATTGCCCGCAAACCTGGCAGGGTCTGGGAATCGGCTACGGTGGCTTTCCTTGACCAGGCACGGCAGGACCCCTTGTGAGTCGTCTGGGTTCTTCTGCTTGGCTCCTGGGGGCTCCAGCCAGCCCTGGCTCCATGCTCTTCGGCCCCTTTCTGAGCTCATCCATATCTCTGCCTTGAGTTTGCATGCACGCATGCACCCTGCGGTCTCCTTTCGGAAATAACAGGGCCCTTCGATCCTCCTTTCGCCCTCACCCCTTTCTCTCCGCCTGCCCCACTGCCGGCGCGGACACCCGCATCTGCTCCAGCTCAACAGGTGTGATCGGGAGGGCTCCCGACCGTCCCTGCAGGTGGCAGCAGGCGCTGTCACTGAATCTTCAGGACAACCCTGTGAAGTGGGAATTGTGATCAGAAGGGAAAATGAACATCTCGGCGGTCACCCACGCGATCACCAGCAGAGCCGGCCCCCGAACTGAGGCCTCTCTGACTCCACAGTCTATGCCTCCCCGCGAACCGCCACATCCATCCACTCACTTCGGCGAATATTTACAGAGCTCTTTCCGGGTGCTGGTTCCCGTTCTCAGTGCTGAGGATACAGGGAGGAACAGGCCCGGCATGGTTCTGGGCCCGCTTCTTAGAGCTTCCGATCTGGCCGGGGAGAAAATGTTCTCGAAAGCCACTGTGTCCTTTTGGTTTCTGTCTGCTTGTCCTGACTCTCTCAACGTATGGGAGATTTTGGTTTCAACTCGGCCAAATTCATTCACTCATTTATTGGTTCCTTCCACAAACACTTTCTGAGGGCCTACTATGTGCCAAGGACCGTGCTAGTCACCGGGACATGACAGGGAGCCCAAGCAGAGGTCCCCGGCCTCGGGCACTTGCCGTGCCCAACCTTTCATACCTTCCTGCCTCTGCACCTTTACGCATGCCATTCCCTCTGTCTAGATGCCCTTCCCTATGCCTCTTTACTGAAATCCAGTCCAATCCTCAAGGCCCGTCTTGAGCCTGGCCTCCACCCACTCACAGTGACGGGTGATTACTCCCGGCTCTGAGGTCACTCAGGATTTGCCATCTGGACAACTCGGGTGTCCGCACAAGTCACTTGACACATGCCAGACAGTCTTGCATCCTTAACTTTCACATTGGTATATGGATTCTGTCACTTAACTTGCCCACTATTCACATCATCACCCAGAACACACTTTCTTTCTCATCAAGAAGCAGTTAGCAAGTGGCTACTGTGTGTTTTAGCGATGGAAAAACAAGATTAGCGATGGAAAAACTGAAGATTAGCGATGGAAAAACTGAAGGACCTTTGTGGAGCCTCTCTGAATGAACAAAGAGCTTTCATAAACATTTGACCACTTGATTGTTACAAAATGCTACCACTGCCATTTTACTTTTCAACTATTAAATGTCATTTAGGGGCGCCTGGCTGCTCAGTCCGTAGAGTGTGCGACTCTTGATCTTGGGGCTGTGAGCTGGAGCTCCACGTTGGGGGTAGAGATCACTTTAAAAAAATAAAATCTTACAAAAATAAATTAAAAACTAATAATAACATGTAATTTGAATTACTTAGTAGCTAAATATATTCTCCTCGTGAATAGGCAAACATTATAGACCCGGCTCCAGTATTCTTTGAGCACCCCGGCCCACCCCACCCTAGACCCCCTCAGAGATGGGGGCGAGGAAACATGTGCTCAACGTCGCACAGCTAGTGGGGGCGGATTTCCAACTCAAAATCTCTCATTTCAATTTTTCCACCTGCCTCCCACGCGGGCCAGCGGCTCGTTCATACCTGCGCCCTGGGTGCCCAGCTCAAGGCTCGTACTGAAATGTTCCACGTTAGCGCGCTCCCTTGCGGACCGGTAGCCTCCGCACCGAGTACTTGCCTCCCAGTCCCACCCAGTTAGTGAAGGCTCCAGGCGACAACTGAGGCCATGCAGTCAATCTGCCAGGCGCCTCTCCTGCCACCGCCGCCCCCCCCCCCCACCCCGGGCTCTCCTTCGGGAGCCACTACAGCGAGACCTCATAAAGGCAAGCCAAGGGTTTGCTGGGCGCTCGCTCCCAGGGTGCCAGAGGCTGTGTCTGATGCGGGGAGAAACACCTGCTATGTTATCCTTGCGCCGCCTCTTAGGGAACCAACCAGCACACGTCCAAGTTCCAAATTCCGCAAGTGCGGACGACAGGTTGGGGGGGTTCTAGGTCGGAAGTTCTCGGCTGCAGCGGACAGAGGTGGGCTGGCACAACATGGGCGGGGAGCAGCCTGCGCGGAGGGCACCGCACCCGGAGCCGGCCTTCGGCAGTGCGGGGCGCAGGGCCACAGGGCCGCAGGGCTGCAGGCCCGCCAGGGAGTAGGGCTGCAGGGGCGCAGGAGAGCAGGCCCGCTGGGGAGCAG